CATCATCTTTGCAAGGCCTAGTCATGTCCTCTTCTAAGAGAATTTCTCATTTCTTTGTTCTACATAAACCTGCTCTGCTCCTGGCCATAGCTGACCGAACAAGAGAAAGACCTCTTTCCTTGTGATGTATTATTGTTAACCTCATGGAAAAAGAGAATCTTGCCCAATTGTCTTCACCTCTCAGGGATGTTTGGAATTCAGGAGTTGAGAGTCTAGAGTTGGTTGGTTTGGAAACAGGACTATAAGGTAGCTTTTCGGCAGATGGGATGGCCATTTTGAGACCACAGCAAATTGGGTGCTAAGAAAATAGGTTCTGGGAGAAGGAGAGGAATGGAGTAGATGTGTTGAGTGAAATTGAAAGGATGAGACTAGTCTTTCTTGAGAGGCAAAGACTTTCTCAGTCCCAATCCCCAATTCCCTTGAGTTTTAGTTGTAATTTTCCGTTGAGTATCTGATAGCTGTCTATCATTTCAAATAATGCCCGTATAGCCCACACCATCCACCCACTTGCCCTTCACGCTACCTTTATATTTGAGTTAATCTGAGTGGGTTACTTTTCTCTATACCTAAAAAAGCTTTAACTCAAATTGCTTTATAATTCTAAAGATCAAACAAGAAGAAATGAGCTTAATTAAATCAGAGAAAGTGGTAGTAACTATGGAAGAAGGCAATTGAAGTTTTAATACTTAAAGTAATCAGTTACGTCCTAAATATCCAGAAGCAAAACAGAGTTCAAATATTCTGTCAGTTTCAAGATCCCTAGATTTGTAACAAATGATCATTTAAAAATATACATTTGTTCAGAGAATTAGTTACCACTGAATTGTGCTGATAAAGCTAAAGAACTCTTTCATGATTTGTTCTCATTTGATACTTAAAACACTCATGAGGTGGCAGATTAGGCATAGACAGGCCTTTCTCTTTCAAATGTCAAGTTTTTTGTCCATGATTCCATGATTCTTTGGTGGAACTGTTTGACTCTGGAGCTCTGCTCTTAAAAACTCAACTTCACTTCTTCATGGCAGAATTGCATTAGAGCACCAAACCAGAATTGCTCTGTACAAACCAGAAGTACTTGATTTGGGGATGTTAAATATTAATTATGCAATGCTTTGTTGCTCTGCCAAGCTGATGAGTGAGAAAAAAGTCTTATTTAAAATTTTTTAAATCTTCAATTCAACTAAAGATTATCATGTTGTTGGAATTACATTGATTGCCATCATTAATGATTGTGCCATATCTAATGATGTTTACAAGAGATAAATCACTGATTCCTCTAAAACTTTTTTTAAAAAAAGGATCTGATATTCTGATTCAGCTCCAAAATAAGTGATTGTGAAGACTAGTAAAACAGAGTCACCATGTTTCCGATTCTGAAACATTCATGGGAAGTTGAATGTCATGGTAGGACAGGTTCAGGCTTTGTAGTGAGATAGAGTGGGTTATTGGGCTTAAATGCTGGGAGTGCCACATGACAACATTATCATTTAAGTCTGGTATTCACTCTCTCTGAATCTCGGTTTTCTTAGATGCTTAGCGAGGATAAAAATGCCCACTTCTTGGGCTTAGGGCTAGGATTAAACAAAATGTGTGGCATTTGGTACATACAGTATGAATGCAATACATGGAAGCTGATATTATTTTTATATTCAGAGCCAATGGAAGGAATTGGCTATGAAAACTCCAGAATGATTCCATCATACCATTTTTGGGTATTACATTTTACAAGTGAGGACATGTGGGCTTGCCAAGGCTCAGAGATGGGATGGTAGAATGTTCTTTCATTGCAAGAGATAAGATAAGCTTTATAAATGTTGGTGAATGTATTAGTTTTCTGTTGCTGCTGCAACAAATTATCATAAGCTTAGCTGCTTAAAAAAGCACAGAATTTACACCTGAAAATAATATAACTTTTTATATCGATTATATCTCAATAAAACCTCACAAATGTATTACCTTAGAGATATGGATATCAGAAGTCTGAGATGGGTCTCTCTAGGCTAAAACTAAGATGCCTCCAGTGTTGCATTTGTTTCCAAAGGATCTGGAGGACAGTCTTTCTTGGCTCATTCAGATTGCTGGAAGAATTCAGTTTCTTATGGTTGTAGAACTGAAGTCCTCATTTCCTTGATGGTTATCAACTGAGGGCCATTTTCAGTTTCTAGAAGCCATCAGATTCCTTGGCAGGTGGCCCCCTCCTTCCACCCTCACAGCTGGCAATAGTGGGTTGAGTCCTTCTTATGCTGCTACTTCTCCTACCTCTTCTTCTATGTTGCATATTTTTGATCCACTCCTCTATTCTACTGTTTCACTTCTAAGGACTTGGGTAGTTACAGTGGGCCGATTTGAACCATCTAGAGGAATCTTCCCATCTCAAGATCCTTAAACTTAATTACATCTGGAAATCCTTTTTGCTATGTAAAGTAACATATTCACAGGTTGCATGGATTAGGGCATGGATATCTTCTTGGGGCTGGGATATTCTGTCTATCAAGTGAAAATGGCATACAAATGGTTCTTCCAAGAATGGAGTTGTTATGTATGATTCACATTATGTTCTGGTTTGCAAAACAAGTGAGCTGTTGTTAAAAATATCCACTCTTCCAGATAGGTAGACAACACATGACCTTGCATAATTTGGCTTCTGCTTACCCTACTTCTCTCTCACCATTCTTATGCTTTCTCTGCTCAGCTATACATTCTCATTATGCTTAACTTAGAGTTCCCAGACATAGCCATACTTGGCTAAATTACAATAGACAAGCAAAACAATGGCCAGTCCATATGATAATGAGACTCTGATCTACAAAAGAAACCCAGGAAGCCAAACCACAACAGCTATAGCAATTGGTCCACAATAGTCAGAATTTGATCAAGATCTGCCAACTTTTCTGTTTTTTTTGTTCTTTGTTTTTTTGTTTTTGTTTTTGTAATTGTTGGTTTGTTTCCCTGCTCCCTGCTTCCAACTTAGGACCAACCAGAGATAGCCAAATAAGCCACCCAAATCAATCTCTTGGGATGCCCCACTTCTAATTAGCCCACCTACAGCCTCCCTGTGCCAACAACTTCCAATCAGAAGGTAACTGAAGACTTCTCCTTCCCTTCTTTTCCGCTACTATAAAAATTTCCCTCTTCTCTGACAGCCTTCGAGTATCTGTCAAAAGCAAGTGATGATGACTGACTCCCTTGCTACAGCAAGCTCTGAATAGACTGCTCACATTCAGGTGGTCTTTGTTTATCTTCACACCTCCTTTACTCTTTCACATATTTGTTTCCCTTTTTTCTCTTCTTGGATCACCTGTTCTTCCTTGCCTTATATGAGTAATTCATATTCAGCATTTGACTGACAGCTTAGATGCCACTGGTGACAACAATAACAATAATTACTAAAATGATAGCTAACCTGTACTGAGCCCTTACCTATGCCGAGAGCTGTTGTAACCATGTTCAATTTATCAACTCTTAAAATTCTTGCAATAAATTATTGAAGTAGTTTTCTATTATTGTCCACATTTTATTTTGTCCATATTATTTTACAGACAGGGAACGATAATTCAGAGAGATAAAGTAACTTGCCTAAGGTCATGGAAATAGGTGAACAAATTGGGGTAGAATTTATGTAGCCTGTTGCTGTAGTTTGCTTTTAAAATCATAATGCTATACTGTTTTCCAAATAGATTTTCATAAGTTCTCAGTTTGTAGTGGGTACTCCTTATCATATGCTTAAATGGAATTCTGTACTTTATCTTCACCAATGATACTGTATTATAATTGTTTATGAATTTATCTGTAATCCCTATTAAAATAGAAGCTCCCTTAGACCAAGGACAGTATTTATCCTATATATGTCTGGAAGTCCAGCATATAGTAACTTCTCCATACATGTGCATTTGAGGGATGAATAAATTAATAATTGAATGAAACAAATTAAAAAATCTGTATTATTATTTAATTGGAGAACACTAAGTTTAAAAAAAGAAAGAGAAAAGGACCCTACTTCTAGACAAACTTTGAAAGCAACACAATTCTACATATGAATTTATAATTATTATCCAGGAAACAACCACAAACTAAGATAGCTTCTCTCTCCTGAGCTTAGGTTTCTTCTATAATCTTAGACATAAAATCACATGAAGCACTAATACTGGTCTCTCCCCAGTAAGTCTCTTCCTATTAGGAGTCATTATTAGGTTGGACCCAACATCTTCTTGGCATTGGTTTCTGAGGCAGAGTATCTCTAAGTTAATAACATTCTTCTGAACTCTGCCTCAATCCTAAAAATTCTCCCACACACTTGCAGTGCTGGAGAATTAGCTGAAAGCAAGGGGTGGCTATGCATTCTCACAGGACTATGTCAGGATCCTAGAGCAAAGTCCCCGACTATGTTCCTTAACATGTCAAGCCTCTGGCCAACTGCCTTTGTAACCCATGTTCTGGGAGCTCTTATTCATGCTCAATGGGTCTCCTTTTCAGACTTATAAGACTGATATATCTGGAGAAGCACTGAGGCAGCCATCAATTCATTTACTTAATATTTGATAACACTGAGAACCATTCATTCATTCAACGAATATTATTGAGTATCTACTGAATTCCTGGTATTGTTCCAGGATTTGGGGAACCAGAAGTGAATTAGATAAGACCCCAGCTATTATGAAGCTTGAATTTTAGCGGGGTTAAGAGACAAATCAAACATACAAACAAATAAAATAATTTCAGTAAGTGTGGCCATAACACAAAGTTATGTGGTAGCAACTTGCCCAGAGCATCTGTGCTCCATGTCTTCCATGATACCCCCAACTTCCCAATCAGCCATTCTTCCTCGGAATTTTTAATGGTTCCTCCAAAACTTTAATTGATGATATGTAGGAACTAACAAATCTTATTTGGGCTAAAAGTTATTTAGGAAATTATTCCTGATTCTTTCCTGATCTTTACTTATTGTCAGTATTCTAAAAATAACTTTTCTTCTCATGCTTCCTTTTTGTTTTTCTCCTAAGAATTGACTATTACAACAAGATTATTGATGATTTGTTAACTAATGGGGTTACACCCATAGTGACCCTTTACCACTATGATTTGCCTCAGGCCTTAGAAGACAAAAGAGGCTGGTTGTCAGAGGCAATCATTGAATCCTTTGATAAATATGCCCGGTTTTGCTTCAGTACTTTTGGAGATCAAGTCAAGCATTGGATCACCATAAATGAACCTAATGTTTTTGCCCTGCTAGCCTATGATTTTGGAATATATCCTCCTGGTGTACCTCACTTTGGAACTGGAGGTTATCAGGCAGCTCATAATTTGATTAAAGCTCACGCCAGATCCTGGCACAGCTACGATTCCTTATTCCGAAAAGAGCAGAAGGGCATGGTGTCCCTAGCAATTTTTGCTACCTGGGTGGAACCGGCAGATCCCAATTCAGTGTCCGACAGGGAAGCTGCTAAAAGAACCATTGCTTTCTGCTTGGATTTCTTTGCTAAGCCCATATTTACTGATGGTGATTATCCGGAAGTTGTCAAGTCCCAGATTGCCTTCATGAGTAAAAAGCAAGGCTATCCATCATCAAGGCTTCCAGAATTTACAGAAGAAGAGAAGAGAATGATTAAAGGCACTGCTGATTTCTTTGCTGTGCATTATTATACGACTCGCTTAGTAAAGTACCAGGAGAATAAGAAAGGAGAACTGGGTTTTTTCCAGGATGTGGAGATTCAAGTTTTTCCAGACCCATCTTGGATAAAAAGTTTGGATTGGATCTATGTGGTGCCATGGGGAATACGTAAAGTACTGAAATACATTAAGGTAAAACACAGTGTTCTATTCATGTATACCCAAATATGTAGAAGTGGGAAGACAGATGTATGTGTGAACTTGGAAAAAGGATGATTTTAGGCAGTAGGTTACACATTTGTTGGCTTGGAAAGAGAGATTAGGTGTTCAGCTGGTGAGGAGTAACTAGCTGATAAGGGGCTTCAATACACTGGTTAAAGTTGGACTTCTCTGTTAAAGTCAGTTGTGGGCATAGGAGTAGCTTGGACATATTTTCCAGGCTGATGTCACAACTGTAATTACTAAAAGGCATATTAAGGGCTGAAATAGCTGGATCCTTTTTTGGGCATCTGTTATCTGGATGGAGTCCAGGTAGCTGAAATTAAAATTTTAAGTTAATGATTTTTAGGACCCTTGCTCTGGGGGGATAGAGAGTGTAGCCATTGGTGGGACCAAGGGGTTAAAGTGTAGTGACAATCAGCAGATGCTGATGAAAGAAAGATACTTCTGTGTTCTCATTATGATAAGAGTCATTTGACTGTCTTCATGGACATTTGCACAGTTTTGCTTTTCCATTGTTAGTCATAAAAGGTCAGTGTGTGGAAAATTAAGTTAATAGAGTCAGTGCAATTTGATGAAAACTAGTTTTGGGTTGTAGCTTAGAGAAGATAGAGGGTAAAACACCTGATTTTATGAGTCTTTTTTTTTTTTTTTCTTGTTACACCTCTTTGGAATAAAACTTCTGCTCTCTTGTTCTAGGATATGTATAATAACCCTGTAATTTACATCACTGAGAATGGGTTTCCCCAGGGTGACCCTGCATCTCTTGATAACACTCAGAGCTGGGAGTATTTCAGACAGACATTTCAGGAACTGTTCAAAGGTACCATTTGAAATGATGAAAGATCAATTGTGCAAACTTAATATAAGTTTCCCATGTGCCTGTTTTCATTCAGCAAAGACCAATGATTTTGAAAGCTGAAATTCATGTAACTCAGTGTAAAGCCATGTAATTAAGAGAGAGGAGAAAAGGTATTTACGAAAGAGAAAGGTGAGGATTTTGGCCTAGCTTCAACCTCCCAAAATTTAATCAAGTAAAAGTGACTGTCTTCTGCATTTTGTGTGACTCTTGGGTGAAGGTGACATGAACAGAAGGGTGGTGGCTGGTGAAAGAGAACTTTAGTTGTTACAAAAAGATTAGCACTGGCCAACTACATCATGCCTATTTGCATATTTTAATATCCCAGTTACCAAGACGTGAACTGACAGAATTTTTGAAGGATCAAAATCAAGCATTTATGCAATGAACATTAAAATGGGCTTCGATGAGTTTTGGCCTAAAATGAGTCTTGCATCACTATATGTTTCATTTAAATTGTAACCAAAGAGCCCCATGTAGGAACATGTTTTTGTCATATAGGATCTGTGAATTTTATTTCTAGACAAGATTATTATTCTGGAAACTGCTCTTTCCCCATGAAATTCTTTTCATATTTGAAAACAAATGTGAAAGAATAATCTTTAACGGGTAACACACATTTCGACACCAGTTAATTTCCCCATTTCAGCATCTACATGGAACACTGTTGCTTTGTAAATTTAATTTCTCCTCCATATAAAGGAATCATATCACAGAAACAAAAAATCCAATGGAAAAATGAAACTTTCAATTTCCTTTTTTACCAGGATAGGCACACTTCTCTCTCATCATTCTATTTGAAAGGTCCTAGAATTATTCTATCCAAAATTAATCAGTAATATGCTGAAATCAGCCAGAAGGAATTCTGGAAAGTGACACAAGATGGTCTCTTTCCCAAACCTAAAATATATTGTACTTAATCCCTCACTCTGGCTTGGAGTTTATCGGCATAAGGCAATTTGATTCCCATGATTTGAGCCCAGTGAAATAATTCTTTTGTATCACATGCAAAACAGGTTCTTTCTCTAGGTAAGGATTCACTTTCTGATTAAAAAAAAAAAAAAAAAAAAAAAAAAAAGGAAATGTCTAGTTTTCCGAGATTCCACTCCCCCTTCTCTCTGTAAATGGCCCTATTCATAGTTAATCCATTGATGTTCCCAGCTTCATTCTGAGAGGAAAGTAAGCTGGTTACCAAGAGGCAGATTTATGGATGGTTTGAGGACCACAAATGACTTCTCCAAAATTGTCTGTGTATTTTTGGGAAAAGAGAGAAAAATAGAAATTGACTTTGTTCATTTCTAGCTTGGTACTCTGTTTAGTTCTAACATGTAAGGGAATTTCATTGTTCTTTGAAATAGTTTCAAGTACTTTAATACAGTCCCTTAGATCTTTAACACTAAAAACTTGATAGTAGACCCCAAAACTAAGACAACTTAAACGAGTAGTAAAGTAACTGAAGGTTAAAGTGGAAAATGTGAGAAGATTTGGGTTTCTGAGGGGCAGGGGAGGAGATAGGATTAGAAACAAAATTCTGTTTTTCTACTTGTTGAATTTCAATTGTATTTTTTTTTTTAAGATTTTATTTATTTATTTGACACAGAGAGAGAGATCACAAATAGGCAGAGAGGAAGGGGGAAGCAGGCTCCCTGCTGAGCAGAGAGCCTGATGTGGGGCTCAACCCAGGCACCCCAACAGATGGAAAAGATACCAGGCACTTAAAACATTAATTGTTCACAGTATGTGTGTTCTCTTCTGATTTTTAATATTAGAGGATCTATGCTTATTGTAATTAACATGAAATATATTTGTTTTACATTTAAAAAATGTAGCCTTGGGGCACCTGGGTAGCTCTGTGGGTTGAGCCTCTGCCTTTGGCTAAGGTCATGATCTCAGGGTCCTGGGATGGAGCCCTGCATTGGGCTCTCTGCTCAGCAGGGAGCCCGCTTCCCCTCCCTTCGCCCCGCCTGCTGCTCTGCTTACTTGTGTTCTCTCTCTCTGTCAAATGAACAAATAAAATCTTTAAAAAATGTAGCCTTTCAAATGTGCAGAAATCTACTTATTGACAAAAAAAGACATGTTATCTTTTCTGGAGTGGATATAGTGATAGTGATAGCTATTTCTTATATATTGTTGTAGTAGATACCAATCATTTAATCTCGGTGAAACTCTTCTAGTAATTACTCCCTTTTCTTCTATGAAATATCCACCTCTTCTTATCCTCAGGGTTACCATAGGGACAATCCCAGTTCTTCCCTGAGATTTAGAATTTGGGCCAATCACTTTGTCTGTTAGCCTAGATTGGGCAGGGGAATGTAGCTTTGTGAGCCTTTGGTGACTATGTCCTGCCTCAGAAGCTAAGGAGTAGTACAAAGGGGAGCTGTCCGTGCATGGAGGGAAGGGGAAACAAGAAACAGGGAGAGTTTAGGGTAATTCTTAAGCCTCTAATTCCAGTTCTCCTCAGCTGCATGCATGATCTTGAGAGACATTACTTTTACTTACAATGAAATGCTTTTTCTGCTTACCTGAACCTGATTGGTTTTCTATCACTTGGAACAAAAAGACTGTTAACTGATACCATCATATCATTTCATTTTTAAAACAGTGAGACGAGGTCATTGCTCCTATTACACAGATGAGAATACTAAGCTTCAAAGAGGCTAGCTAAGTCATTTGTTTAAGATCACTAAGTGACTAAGTACTATTTCCTGGAATGTTAGCAGAGTGCATGCATTATTATTACTGCTGCTACTACTCTTTTGGTGTTTGATGAGGTCTGTGAATTTAGGGCTTTCTGATCCAGGGTGGTTGCTTGCCCATACCACAAAGAACATTTTCCTCATCTTTGGTACTCAGAACTTGCATAGTTTCTTCGAAAGGGCTCCATGCTGTCCCTGCAGGAGCCAATAGGTCCTATGACCTTGAACACCACTCAGACACCCGCCCTACCTTGCATCTCATCAGGGGAGTGGAGCTTAATTTATAATCGATTTCCTGAGACTCCTTTGAGGTAGTGCTGATGATCTTGATTGGCAAGAACTCTACTAGTAAGAAGCACCCCATGAGCAATTAAAAATGATAACTGGCCAAGGAAGACTTTCATGGGAAGTGCTGCAGGTGAGAGCTGGTCAGAACCCAGGGAATCAGATGGATGATGGCTTTGTGGTCCCCATAAACAAAGCTTCCTCTCTAACATCACACATATGGACAGGCACAGAATGACACTATAGTTGGATCAATGGCATCCGCCTGGAGGTCTCACTGATCTCTTCAGGTAAAATCCCACAGCAATTAATTGAGCAGTAAAAAGTAAGCTAATGTTTCTGTTTCCTATTGGGAAAGGAAAAAAAAAAAAGAAAAATGTCATTTCAAGAAAAAAAAAAGAAATTAGCTAATGCCTTTTTAATCATTGCATTATTTAAATGCCTTTAAATAGGTTGTATTTTAATTAATGTAGATATAGATAAGAGAAAAGCAACACAGGAGAGACACAAAAAACTTGCAATAACATATAACTGGCTTACATTTCAGCTCTGCAAATTATTCAATGAGGGGCCTTTGGCAAATTGTTCAACCTCCCAAACTCTTAGTTTGTTCATCTGTAAAAATGGATTAACACTTTCCCCTGACAGGTCGTTATAAAGATTCCATTTAATGAGCTAATATGTAATTACCCCTGACCAGCAATTGCCTGGCACACAGTAGGCCCTCAATCAATGGTAATAATAATTATTATTACTAAATGTGTACTCTTAATTTATCACCCCAGTTACTTAACTTGTTGTTTTACAAATGTCATCCCAAGATTTTTTTTTTTTTTAAATTTTCCACCAAGTTTTCAAGTTATAGCAGAATATTCCTACATGTCTGCAGGTTTCTCTATTTTTCTTTTTGGTATGAATGAATGTTGTAATTTTGGCCCTCTGGCTATCTACCGTTGACTCCTGCGGAGTAGAAAGCAACAACCGTCTCCCTCCATTCATTGTTTCCATCAGAGAGGTTGCCAGATTAGGTGAAAAATTAAATCATTGGCAGCAGAAATAACCATATGCAATTGGGTAGCTGGAATTGCTCGACCACATGAATTTTTTGCATAAGTTCAGAAAGCACTGATCTTCAAACAGTTAAGCCTTTCTCATTTCATATGAATCTCTATTATATTCATAAAATTTTCACCAGTCCTTGCTGCTCCAGAACCGGCAGGCAAGTTTAAGTTCATCTGTAAATATACACAAATGGATGCTTCAATAATCTGAATGTTGCCAGGGAGGTGAGGAAGTGTGTGAAATAGGGGAGGTTACTCCCAATGTGTAATACCCCAGCCATGACCTAAATTCTCCTGAAAGGGGATTTGAGCCTGTGTTCTGCCCAAATCCTGTTGTTTGGAGTATGTGAACTTGCTGGAAGTCAGACAAGACATGGGTTTCAAACCTGGTTCTGCCACTCACAAGCTCAGTAATTTCCAGCCATCTAATCTTCAGGATGGGGATAATAAGACATCTGTCTTCTAAGGAGTGGTGAAAAGTGAACAAGGTAATCCTTATAAAGCCTAAATACAGAGTCTGGCACATTATAAAGCATCTGTAGACGGTGGCTAATTTTTGAAGGGGTTGTGGACACTCCGTTCTGGAGCTGTGTCTTTTTATGATTATATCATCAGCCCTGACTCCCCTTCTGGCATGTAGAAGTGTTCTACACATTTGTTGAATTTGGTTGTGTCTATCAGAGAAGAGTTAGCCAATGCATAATGAGAACTAAATGATTAAATAATTGGGAACTGTATTTTCTTTCCCTAAAGAAATATACCCCATAGAGGGGAGGGAAAAAAAGAAAGAAAGAAAGAAAGCAGCAGACTTCTGGAAAGTTTCTGAGCCAGCCCAACTTTCCAGTCAGATCCATGCCTGACTTAGCACAGCAGTAGATGATTGCAGAGAAGGTTTGTTAATGACCAGCTTTAGGCTTTTAAT